ATTAAATGATTTAAAATGGAAATGGGGTTTCACATTCTTGTGAATTATCAAATGCATTTATCCTGTTATGACACAGGAGTTTTCTATAATGTGACTATTTATTTAAAAAAAAGTCAATTATGTAAATGTAATAAAAAATAAAATTTCAATTCAATAAGAATAATTACTTTAAATGAATGAATTATGCCCTGATCAATTGGTTGGAGATGAGCTGTTGTATTTGGCGGAAGAAAATATAATTTAATATTGCTTAACACTTCACTTTCTTCCAAATAGTGTGAAGGAACATTATCAACTAATAATAAAATATTTCTATGTTGGTTGTGCATCTGTTGATTAACTTGTTTAAACCATGATTGGAATATTGAACATTGCATCCATGATGAGTTATTCCAATAGTACCACACTGGAAGTGTTTTCTTATCAATATTACAAATACATTTTGGATTTTTATATTTATGAATAAATACAGCTGGCAATTTATGAGAACAAGTTGCATTACATGCAAGCATTATTGTAATTCTATCTTTAGGTTTTTTTGTGCCAGTGATAGGACCACTACTGAGAGTTTTGTTGGGTTCTAACTTACAATAGAGGGCAGTTTTGTCAGCATTATAAACATCATTCAAGTCATATTCTGCAATTAAATTTTTTAATTCAGCTCTAAATTCTGGTAAGTCATCAATTGGTGCACTTGCTGCTTCACCCGCTTTGTAATGTTCTTTTACACCTTTTCTTTTTTTAAAATTAGTAAGCCATCCCTATTAAATATATAGATAAAATGATTAAAATAAAACGAAATTTAATAAATAAAATAATCAAAAAATTGATACTTACTTGTGAGGCTGTAAATCCAATAATTTCGAGTCTTCTAACATAATCCAGTGCCTTTTGACAAATGATGGAACCAGTTATGGTATAATTGGCTCTATTGGCATTATTAATCCAAATTGCTAATGCTTCTTCCAACTGTGGCCATTCACCTCCATGATCTCATTTAGTAGCATCTGAGCTCTCAGTAATTGCAAGCCATTTCTCCTTATCTCTAATAATATCTCCTACAGTTGATTTACCAATTCCGAATTTCTTACCAATTTCTTCATATGTTTTGTTTGAATTGGCAATCTTATATTCACATAATTCTTTTTTTGAATATTAGTAAGTGCAACCAATTTTCTTCCTTTCTTGCTTCCAAATCTACTGGATGTTCCTTCCATAATTATAAATGGTTATTTTATTTTATTTTTTATCTAGAAATTCAGAAGGTTGGGAAATCTACCCTTTTTATACATATTTTTGAACATAATAAATCATGAATTATTTAATGATGAGATAATAAATCGTGAATTATTTATTAATGATGAGATAATAAATCACAAATTATTTAATGATGAGGTAATAAATGACATACAGTGTGTAACAAAAAATTTTGGCGAATTCAAACACTAATAACTTTCCCAAAATAAAAGTGATTCATTTCATGTTTTGAATATATAAAAAATATTACCTAAACTATATTAGGCTACATTTAAATTGTTTTGTTTTGTTATGAAATCATCACCACAATGTCATCTTCCGATAAAGAAACCCAAAGAAAAGCAATATTACAATTGTGGAATAATGGAATTACTTCAGCAAAGAAATACATTCTAGAACTGGTATCATAATGCCAACAATCTTAAAAAATTAATAGATAATTGCAAAAATACTGGATATTACTAACTTTACTTCTTTTCATCTAAGGAACAGTTGGCCTGACTACCACAAGGCACGAAGGTGGAAGAATGAGTCTAAGCAGCCTAAGCCAGTTGGCAGATCCTTGGTTCACTTTCACTACTTAAAAATTGTGTATAACTCTGTAGTAGTTATAGGATTAAATAACACAACTTTCGGAAATGTTGATATGTCTGAAGAATCAAAGAAAAGAAAACAAAAAAGATCAGGAAGAGGTAGTTTTCAAATTATGATAATCATGATCTGGTTATAGAGCTTCTTCATTTTTTATTCTTTATCACAAAGGGATTTTTGAAAAGCCTTAATATTGACGATCCATCCACCCTCTATGATAAGTTGATAAAAGGAATAACGATGCAAGAGAAAATAAAATGGCTTGTTTGACAGTGTATGTATTAATTAGTCTTTTTGCATCTTTGAATTCCTCACAGGCATATTATATAGTCTGTTGTACTGTGGCATTGTTGATCTTAGGGCTAAAAATATCTCCCCATGTCCCAATCATCCCTGTTCCGATGAATTTCTTTTGGATTTGAGGTCCAAAAACTCTAGCAAATGTTACTGAAATTATAAAAGAGGAAGCACAATTGGATCCGTCTGTTCTGATGTTGCTGGGAAATTTCGTGGTGTAACAAGTACAATATCTCCAGAAATTAAAATTTTGATTGGTGCGTAATGTTACACCCGAACATTGCGGGCAACACTGGCTAGGAATGCTTCAATCAAAAACTTTTAGTCCTAAAAGAAAAGCGTGCCTGAGGAATTGAGTGTGTTTGCTCCTCTGCTTAAATGACAAAGACACATAATATATTGGGGAGTGTTTGGATGCCTTGTAAGTTTTTAATAAAAATCTTTAATTATACCTATTAGCACTCCTTTATTGAATATCATGGACGTTGTTATTATAGTGACTGTTGGATGAATATATACGGTGGTACATCCCATATAGAAAGAACCGTTGATATGCACCTTATTGGTCCATTTTCGAAAGCACCTGGAGTAAAATTTATATAGTAAGAATAGTTCTCGTTAATTTATTATTCCTACCAAGGTAATTAACAATTCTTTGCTTGTAGTGGAGAAAGTCATTCAGATGCAGATAGGGACGAAAAGTCTTCCCGATCGCAAATAGAACGAACTGGAAAAGCCTGCAGTTTCATTTTCTGGGTAAGTTTTGTCTTAAAGTTGTTATAAAATGTTAATGAACCCTTAATGTCAACAAGGCGTGAATAAACAAGTAAAATTCATCCTCAGTCATGATTTGTAATGGAATTCTCGCAGTTATAATTGGGTGGTATACGAGGACATCTTGTTCTTTTCTCATAACATACATCTTCAAGGTATCACCTATAACAGATTTTGTTAGAATAATTCCAAGATACAAAATCATAACTAATACATACCAGCAACGTTTATGGCAAATATATTTAGATCCTTGCTTAGCATTGACTTTTTCAGGAATACTTTAAGCTCTGACCTAGCATATTCAATTGAACCTTAGAGAGAGTTCAATACATCTGATTACGCATCTAATTCTGATATATGACAGGAGTTAATGATTTAATGCTCCACGTCACCT